CGGGGACGCCGGGGGCGGGCCCTGTTGGTGGGCGGGGCCAAGCCGCCCCGCCCCGCGCCTCCACTCCCCGAGAGGCTGCGACGCGAGCAGCGCGCACAATCTTAAAGGGCTCGCTCTTCCCGGCGTCAGTCTGGGAGGCGTCCGGCAAGTTCGAAAAGCATCACCCTTCTTCCGAAATATGGGGACTCTAAAGGAGACTCCTGACCCCGCTTCCTCACCTACAATAAGGGATTCCCGCTCTGCGCCCGGGTTTCTCCCCCAAGTGCCGAGGGAGCGGGTCTCCTAGGCCTTGGGGCGGGAACTGGAACGCAAGCCAAGGTGTAATCGCTTTGGCGCGCCGGACCAGTACGTCCAGGGCTTGAAACTGGGGGCTTCCTAGAGGTTGGAGGCTGTTCGAGGCTGCGCGCGAACCCCGCCTGGCAGGGTTAGGATTCCTCAAATTCCTGGTCTCTGCCCTGTTCTCCAACCTTAAGCCGACCTGGGACCTCCTTCCAGGCTGCCCAGATACAACGCGAACACAAGCATATTCCCCTCACACATTTATTGAGCGCCTGTTGCATGCGGGGCTCAGGCATCACACATCTGCCATGTGGCATCTCTGAGGCTCCAAGAGAGCCAAGAGGACAAGGAGGAAGGATCCCCCAAACCCCTTGAGGATCCTTCAGCCACCCACCCCCTCCCTCCCTCCCAACTCGGTTCTACGCCTAGAACCTGCGGCCCAGGGATGCGAGCCTTTGGGCAGCCACGTGGGCCGCGGGATTCCGACGAGGGGTGCGTCGTCAGAAGCAACTCAGCACAGGAAGTCGCATTCCCATGGAGCCAATTGACTCGGAGCCTGACGACCGCGGACTCGCGCAAGATCCAAGCTGCAGGCTCTCTCTATTAGAGCCAGAGGAGCGCGGGAACGTGCGCCAGCTTCCATCACGTCTACAGGGCACCCGGGGTCGTGTCCACGCGGGCCTCCACAGCACGCTTGGCCTCGGCTCCACCACTGTATCTGGGAAAGACACAGGTCCTTTAGGATCGCGGTGCAGTGAACCGCAGCCCCCCAGCAGTTTTCTGAGTTGGATTCAGTGTAGACTTTCCCATCTCTCCGGAGAGCACAGGGAAAGAGGGTATTTGGGAAGGAGGGTGTCTTGGACGCCTCTCTCGCTCGGAGCCCCACGGGACCCCTGGCAGCGGCGCAAAGCCGGGCCGGAAGAGGGCCGCGCCGCACTCCCGGTCCAGGCCCAGCCTGGTTGGCTGCGGATCAAAGAGCCAGGGCCGTCCTTCTCTGCGTTCAGATCCTATCTGCGCCGGCTCAGCGGGGCGGCTCGGCCTCCTACCGCACCGCTGCAGTGCCCACTTTTCCTCCCTTCCGGGGGCTGGGGGGTGGGGGTTACTAGCGCTCAGTTTGGCGATGGAGATGTGGAGAAGATCCTGCCCATTAGGTTCCCCCAGTCTCCTTTTCTGAGTGTGAGCTTGCTGCTGAGTCTCACTTTATCCCCCCTGGACAGTGGTGGTGGTGGTGGGGGGGAAATCCAGCAAATCTTAGCCCAGTAGAGAGGGGAAAGGGTACAGGAGGAGGGGCTCATGCCCTCCCCCACCTCAGCCCCTGAGGTTATAAGATCTGACTTGGGACGAACCTCCTCTGGGAAAGCTGAATGGGAAGATGGATCTGCCTAACTCAAAGGTTTTGGGGGTCCTCTTGCCTTTCAGGGTGACCCCAGCTTAGCAGGCACCTCCTCCAGGATAAAGGTCCCCAGACCCATGAGTGGACACAGGACAGTGGGGGGTTGTTTTCTCTAGTCCATGGAGAAAGGAGAGAAGTCAGGGCAACAGTGAGGTGGTTTGTTTTTCTCAATAAGGCTGAATTTTTTCAGCTTAAAGTATTAGCTTTTAATCAGAGATTATGGATTTTCTGCTTTATTGGTGTAAAAACAGCCTTTCTTTACTAAAATAATAGTGGAAATTGATTTTTTTAAAACATCCTTATTTGGCAAGAGAAAAACTTGGCCATTCTATTCACTCTCCCACCCCCAAAACTCTTTGGACATTTTCTAGGGCTGTGAAATCCCAAAGTCTGGGAACCACTACCCTACAGGATCATGCCCTGCTGGGTGGAACCAGGGGAGGAGGCAGGTGAGCAGGGAGAACATGGGTGTGAGGAAGAGAGGTAAGGGAGGGAGAAACAAGCTGAGTACCAGACAGCTACAGCCATACTGAAATCAGCTTGAATGCCTGCTAGGGAGAATCTCCTATTACCTAACCCTGGACTCAGGCTGTGGAGAGGGGAGAGGCAGTGGTGGGGTTCCTGTTCTCCAGAAGGCATTGTCTGCTTGAGAAGCTGAGAAGTTATTAGAGCCAAGTTTGTTGGTTATTAGTCTATGCAGACCATCGGCAGAAGGAGCTCAGATATGGTGAAATCAATGTGGCTGAAGTGATCATGTGGGCTTCCTGGAGGAGGCAGACTTCATCTGGACCTGGGAGGCTCTGTAAGGTTTGGAGAGATAGAGAAGAAAAAGAGCTCAGGCTTGTCCATCAAAGGCAGGTGTGGCCCTGCAGCAGCCTGTGGTCCGGTCAGCACTGATTCCATCATCATCATCCTCATTATCACCTGCCACATGACTTCATATTCCTGAGTGATTGCTATGTGCCAGGCGTCATGTCAAGAGCTCCACACACATTATCTCATTTAATCATCAAACCAATTCTGTGACATTGGGACTATTATCCCCATTCATGAATGAGGAAACAAAGCTCAGAGAGGTTGAATAAGTCACAGGATCTCACAGCTTAGACGTGAGAGTATCAGAATTCCAAAAACTTAACAGTCTGACTCCTGGACTTGCACCCTAACCACCACCACACACTCTAGTGTTCCATCATGACCTCTAAAATTCCAGAAGGGGGTCCTTACCTGCTTTGTGGTCTCTGCAGAAAAATGCTGATGAGTGAACTGTGACTAATAGAGTCCTTACTTTCCAAGGGGCTCATGTTGCTTGGAGGGACCACCAGGAGGATTGGGGAATCTCTCTTGTTGGCCTGTGTAGGGTGGTTCAAGCTCTTTGCTAGATAGGAGGGCCCAGAGCATCTCCCTTGAGTCAGACCTCAGTCTGTACCACCTCTGGGCCCACCCTGGACTGCCCGCTCTGGGCACCAACTCAGATCCCATACAGTCACGATGGCTCTGGGGTTCTTCCTCACGGTGGTGAGTGGAATCTGAGTGGGATCTGCTGCGGCTGCCCCTCTGGAGGTGACCAGGCAGTTTCAGGATGAAGGCCAGAGTCTTCTGCAGGAAGGCCCCAGAGTTTTCTGGACCCATGAAGTCCAGGTCAGAGCTGAAGATTTATTTTTTTTTTTTTAAAGATTTATTTATTTGAGAGAGAGAGTGTGTGTGTGTGTGTGCACGTGCATGTGGGCACACGCACATGCAAGTGGGGGGGGCAGGGGCAGAGGGAGAGAATCTTCAAGCAGACTCCCAGCCTAGTGTGGAGCCCATTGGGAGCTCCACCTGGGGCTCGACCTCACGACCCACGAGATCACGACCTGAGCTAAAACCAAGACCTGGACCCTTAACCGACTGAGTCACCCAGGTGCCCCTAGAGCTGAAGAGTTAATGAGGCTTCATCTTCATGCACGTAAGCCACAGGTGGACATGTGGTGTCCTCGGAGGCTGGACACAGGATGAATTCAGAGCTCACAAGGGTTGAGGGTCTGACCAAGAGAGCTCCAGCTTTAGATTTAGGCAGATCTATCTGAGTTTGCATCCCTGCCCTACCATTTACTAGCTGGGGGATTCCAGACAAATCACTGATCCTCTCCGAGCCTCAGCTTCCTCCTCGGTAAAATGGGTATCACCCCCCAAGGCTGCCTAGCACTGCGGGAGTGATCTTTTTTTTTTTTTTTTAAAGATTTTTATTTATTTGACAGAGAGAGATACAGCAAGAGAGGGAACACAAGCAAGGGGGAGTGGAGAGGGAGAAGCAGGCCTCTTGCCGAGCAGGGAGCCCGATGCGGGGCTCGATCCCAGGACCCTGAGATCATGACCTGAGCCGAAGGCAGACACTTAACGACTGAGCCACCCAGGCGCCCCTGTGGGAGTGATCTTGAGATGATTTCCATATCCTAGGAAAGAGCTTAGCTCAAGGCCTGGCACATTCCAAGAGTTCTAATAAATGGGTGCTCTTGAGCTAGATAGTTTTGGGAAGTTGTTAGGCTAATTGGCTCTTCATGTAAGGTCATGTAAGTCATCTAAGTGTTCTCATGGCCTGGGCCCACCTCATCACAGCTAAGGCTGAAAATGTACTTTTCCTTTCCTTTTCTTTCAAGTTCCTTCACATGAAAGG